AAACAGTCAGAGTCAGATCTCTTACAAGATTTAACACCAACCCTTTTCAATGCCAAAAGCAGCCATTTGGAGCTTAATTGTGATGAAAAAAAAAAGCTCCTTATATGGAACACTTTTTTTATGAGCAGCACACGCGAATATCTGCATCAAGATTACATTTCATGTATTTTCAAAATGAAATTAGGCCCGGCATGGCCAGGTGGTTGAGGCGTTCGATACGCAATCTGAGGGTCGCGGGTTCGAATCCCCGTCCCATCAAACATGCTCGCCCTTTCAGGCGTTACGATCAATCCCACTATTTGTTGGTAAAAGAGTAGCCCAAGAGTTGGCGGTGGGTGGTGAAGACTAGCTGCATTCCCTCTAGTCTTACACTGCTAAATTAGGGACGGCTTGAGCAGATAGCCCTCGTGTAGCTTTGTGCGAAATTCAAAACAAACCAAGATGAAATTATATTACTATGTTATGACCAGATGGACAAATATTTCACACAAAGCACTTATAAATTATAACTTATATTTCTAGAAAAACTTTGTTGTTTTTAGCTCAAAACTACACAATGGGCTATCTGCGCTCTGTTCACCGCGTAGAATCGAACCCCGGATTTTAACAATTTAAATCCATAAACTTACCACTGACCCAACGGTGGACTTTTAGAAAAACAAGTTTTTCAAATTTTAATTTAAAAGAAAATAAATTTTAACTAATCCCAAAAATGTTATTTTCTATTTTCATTAATTATATTCAAATCGTTACCGAAATCACTGAGTAAATAAAAATAAGCTTTCCTGAGTCGTGAATTATCAGCTTAGATTTTAAAAATCCAGCATAGTTTTTCTTTTTCTTGGAAAAAATGAATTACTCATATAAAATATTATTACTCATCATTCCATCTTTAATAAATCTTTGAATGAATAGCTTTTGCTGTCATAAAATCTTATCATAATACATTAAAAAAATCCTCAAATAATCAAAATCCGATTCCAAACTCTCAGACATATATAGAATTTAATTTTCCTTCGCTAAAGCCGTGAGTCAGACATTCTACTGGCGACACATTATCGCGACCAGACAAGTGAGATCAGCCGCTGCTAAAGAAATCATGACCCTATTTCTTAATTCATGAAGTGAAAGCGAACTTATTTAGTTGGTAAAATAAAATTAGCAAGAGGTCATTTGCCTTTAATTAACTTATGCGTGAACTTACTTTATCGTATTTATATAAATCAAATCAAAACCTTTTTTTCAGGTGGCCTTTTGCTCTTCGCATATTGAGCACACTTTGGAATTAACATGTGGTTGTATATAGTTATTTATGCATGTCATTAGATCTTAGCATCCACTAAAATTATTCGTAGTTGTCTGTGAAGAATAAAGCCTAATCCACATACAGTATGTATGAAAAGCTTCTAAGCTTTTGGTTTAGCTTTAGTTTGTTTATAGTTAAGCACAAAGCTACACAATGGGCTATCTGTGCTCTGCCCACCACAGGTATAGAAACCCGTTGTAAGTCCGCAGACATACTGCTGTGCTACTGGGGGGCACATAAAAGAGCAAACTCTATAAAGTTACATGTTGTGTGTCCTAATATAAAACTTGGACGTTTATATATACAGTATATATATATATGTATCACGTTTTTATATGGTTGACTATTTTATTCTAACTTGGCCCTTTTTGATACGTATTTTTTGTTTGGAGCCTTATTTTGAAATTAAATACAAATAATATTCCACTCGAAGTGGTATCCGAATCCCAGCAGTCAGGAAAAGATATTAACAAAAATAGACCACAACTACATTTTCTGATTTCAGGTTTTCAACAAGCTCCTAGTCCCTCATCAGTTTTAACCTAGTGGCTGTGGAGCGTAATCACCACCAGCCAAAGTATCAAAACATATTCATAAAACAATTAACATATGTACTGCAGTTATCAAATCCTAGTGCCGATCAACCTTTGTTTGCCATGTTCTTCTTTGCCTCTTCAACAACAACAAAAAAAGCAATAATTTACCATTTTTGACTGCTGTTTATTTTTCTAGTCCTAAAACAGACATGAAGCTGCTGTTTCTAATATGATGCAAGTATTTAGATCTGTTTAGAAACATAACAACAGTGGAATTTTTGTAACAGTTGTGGCAAAACCACAGATTTGGCCAAAAGCTCAGCCCTTGTATATAAAGTCACGTAGTGTTACTCATCTTCTAGCATTATTGAACTCATAACGTGCATCCAGATCTTTCAAAAACGAGATAGGCTTTTACACAATTCTATTTTGTTAAATAGTGAGCGATAAGTACACGATAAAATCCTGTTGGAACAAAATAAGGTAATAGAAATGTTTTCTAACACAATGACATTATAAAGACAACCAAAATGTGAAGTGGAATCATAGGTACTGTAGTACTTATAGTAAACAAAACTTTATAAGCAATTTACACATATTGTTGAGTAGTATATAAACCAACTACAGAGTAAAAAGCCACCAAAGCACGTGAGAAAGTCGGGGGAGTAAAAACAACATTTTCACAAAATCACAAATTTGTCAGTCTGACTAACTGACTAACGTTGTTGGAAAGGCATACCTCTCTCCTTCCTTCACCTTATGCAAATCTGAATGCACATGATTTAATTACGCTACCTTTGCTAAAAGTGTTTTTCTTAGTTTTAATTATAACCTTGGTAATAAAAAGTAATAACAATAACCATTTTGCAAAACTACTAACGAGCTAACAATACACTAGTAGCCATATTCTATGATTAAGAGTATGCTCTGTGAGTTGCCAAGTAACAATCCGCCCTCATATCACGTGCAGATGCGCGATTTGTTATGCGCACGTGCTACGTGATCAGACTGATACTGTATCAGCTACATAAAAAACTTGGACTATTTAGATTCCCTATATCTAGGTTTTAACTATGATCTAACATTTTAAAGCAAAATATTCAGTTCTATACATCTGAGTCGAGAGTTCTGTGTTGGACAGAGCAATTCTATTATAGCAGTCGATGTCTAAGACGTTTTACGGAAAGACGAACTCTACCACTGCCGAAGTCTGACACGGCTTTGCTCGAGTGCTCTGGACTTAATACAAAAACGATAAGTTGTATATTTTACCTTTGCATTGTTTTCAAACTATGTGTGTCCTATTGACATCTAAGGTGGTACTTGAAATAGTGCGATTTTTTAAATATGTCTTTAAAAGAAATAAAACGAGAAAAAATGGGAAAATCTTATGTTTGTAACCTTGAAAAGTCTTTCTCCTAGTGAAGAGAGCATTACTGCAAGAACATAGGTAAGGTTAGAAACAGTAATGCTGAATATGCGAAACAAACCCTAGCCATTAATCCAGCCAAGAAAGAGATTGCCATCCTGGCTAGATGGAAGAAACATTACATCAAAGATATCAGCAAAAGCCAGGAACTGTCGAGAGGTAGCTCTAAGAAAAGCTACGAGAAGGATAGGCCTAGAGACCATTTACTCTTGAGACTTAGCACAAAGACAAGCTATGAGAAGGATGGGTATAGAGCCCATTCACTCTCGAGACTCTGCACCAAGAAAAGCTACGAGAAGGATAGGCCTAGAGTACAGCCACTCTCGAGACTTAGCACCAAAATGCTATGAGACAAGTGTAAACAATTGTAAATAAAAAAATTAGGAAGTAGGAATGGGCAAGATAACATTACAACATTTGGTGCTTTTTGACACAGTGCAACCTCAAAGTGGGTGTGGCCATCGATCCGCCCATTCCTACTTTGTCTTTTACTTTAAAGTTTGGTCCAGTTATATACTTGAATTGAGTTTTATCGGTAGCTAATCCTTTCTGAATATTCAACAAATTTAAATATTTCAAAAATCAGCGGTTTTGATACTATTCTGTTGGCGCACCTCTGACCAGTCAGATAGATATAATGTCTTCCATAAGTAAAAGGCTTCCTTGGCAGTGGGGTTCGGCACACAGTGTGTGCGGTTGGGATGCTATTATCTTCTTACTGGAAACCTCGTATAGGCCTCAAGAGAAAGGCTTGTTAAAAGTCGTTATCAGTCTAATAGTGATGTAACGTTAAACAAACGATTTACATATTACGCTTCACCAGCACATGGCATTACATATACCATAACGCATGCAGAGTATTCCCATACTGAGATGACCAACAAAAAAGTGAATGATGATCTAGATTAAATGACACAACACTAACGTAACGAAAGCAACAGGCTGGGTGCATCAAATAAGGAATGCAACGCTAATTAAATCAACGTACAATAAATATACCAACATAACTTTCCAAAATATTAAAGTTTAGTGAAGACCCTACTGAACTGAATAATTAATTCAAAATACAATAACATTAAGAGGGGGGTCGATACTATGTTTCGAAACCTTCTAATTATTAACATCAGAATTATCAAATTGCCATGCACGTACACTTACTGGACATTTTGCACACCAACATATTAAAAGCTTATCAAAGCTAGGTCGTAAAATTGCATTATAAGTTTATTTATTGATAGTATTAAGTACGATAAAGTTTAGCCCTAACTAAACTAAAGCAAAAAAACGTATACAAGTTACAATGTTTATTCATATCTTTATCGAATATTTGGCCATACTTAATAAAGGCTTAACTAATGTTAAGGCTAAGACAAGTGGACTTAGAGATTTCGGTGTCTGAGATTAGAATTATTTCGTGTTATTCTAGAGATCCTGTATTTATAGAAGTACTCTTGCAATGAAGATAATAATGTGAACGTAAATGTTTTGCACGTCTCTGCCGGATAAAATTAATATAGTTAATCTGTTTTATCTAAGATCACAATCAACTGCAATCAATGAAAATAAAACAAATTTTTAACTGCTTTAATGGCAACGAATAAACGACCAGTTTCTCTTCTCTTTCTTTTTTTTTTTAGAAAACTAACCTGGTCACTACGAATTTAGAGCAATATGTGATTGCTAACTTTTGTCGTGCAAATATCTAACAAGTTTTTTTAGGTTATCTTACCTTCTTTGTCACTTCAGGTCCATTTTCCATCGCATACATTATGGATTCTGATATTTTAGCATCCAGAAGATTCATCACTTTTTCAATATTAGAGGAATCAGCCATTCCAGTTGCCACCCGGTCTAATGCACTCACGTAATCACTCCATGGTTTGTCAAGTTCTGCTACTTTAGCTAAACATCCATGACCCACATTCAAACAGAACCCACTACACGGTTTGGATGAAACTAGCCGTTGGCAGTGAGCACAATACGTTAACCTTACAAGAGCCTTATTACAATCTGGCCCAAAGTCCATATGTTCGGTAGTGTTTATAACCTCTACACCAAGATTCAAAGCTTGTAGAAGAGAACGAGCAACGTCAAATGAACGAACAATCTGAAGAGAAATAAGCATGGGTTTGTCCCCAAACGGTTTAATTTCCGATGTTTTCTCTTTCAAGCAGGTCTTGTAGTCATCACTGACTTCTTTGAGATCTGGGTTGATGATATAGTGATAAACAATGGGAAAGAGAGATCTGAAGAAAGAGGCAACGTGCACTTCAAGATTGGTGTCCTTACCTTTTAGGTAAGCCAAAAGATCGGCAAACAACTGCTCAGTTGGTAAACGAGCCACAGACTCCATCTTCTGGTAAGTTTGGGAAAACAGTGTTTGAGTGTTGTTTTCTGCAAGCCTCGTCATATCTTGAAATTTTTCTGCAAAGAATAAACCATTTTTAAATTACCAAATACCCTTTATTCAACCAATGAAATCCAAATCACAAAGGTTTCAATAGTACAGACGAGATTTTTAGTAACTGACATCATATGACTACATCACTTACGGCCAAACTTCAGTCCAAAGAATTCTTGGTTAGTTTCTTACAAAAATGCTAACTTTAAGAACATTCTACATTTATGGTTTCAATATTCTAATTTCATGTGACTAACCTCATCATTAAGAAACAATTTAGGTTAATCTCAACCTTTATAACGCAAAGGAGAATTATAACAAATCATACTCATGCTATGCAAGTAGATATTTCCGAATTATTGTTATTCGTTTCTATCCTGTCTGTTCACAACACCAACAAACCTTGGTGTCAGTTTTTCAACCAACCAACTATCACAATTGTAAAATAATCAAGTATACATCGTATCATGAGACATCACGTGATTGTTTGGAAACCAAGGAATGCTACTTTATTTCAGTCATTGACTTTTCAATCAACTGTCTGCCCTAATTGCTGGTCAAGTACTTTATCCCAGCCATAACAGTTAAAAGACCATTATCGGTGCTTGGTTGATCATTAGATCTAACTGATTGCTTCTGCACTGGAATTTTCTCATTTGATTCTTTTCAAACAGTCAGTTATGTACTATCTATGTCTTCCTCCACCTTAGCTGGCATGAGATTGTAAATACCAGTGATCTTATGATCATAGCCCACCTTTGATTCCTGAAGTAAACAGAGTTCTCCACAGCTTCAACAGTGACATAGTTTTTAAAACTGTCAACATGTTTTGCACGTATCTGTACTCCACGTGACCGCTGCAACCCAAAGTTATCTTCATTGTTCGGCCAATAAATCAGTAACAGACTGCGCTAACGTATTGACCATCAGTTAAGTTTAGCCAACTTGATGATGTAATCAATAATGACTAGTAGTACATATTACCTTTTTCGGTTTGAGAAAGAGGACTGGGTATGTAAAAGGCGATTCTTTCCAAAGGAGAACCTACCTCTCTGAGTTAATTTTATCTCCGGGCAACACACTAAGTACAATGTCTAGAGCACCATATAACGTATTCATGTACTTGGGAGTGAGGACAGAAAAACTGTTTCCACGGATTGGCACAACACTTCCTTATGTCCTCCAATCCTTACATTATAGAAAGTCTGAAAGATTTTCCTTTTTAAATCTATGGGAACAACCGCATGCAGAAACCGCATAAACATTTAAAAAACATTAGCTAAGTATACCCGAATAAAGATGTATTCTAAACTAGTTGTGGAAGATTGAAATAAATAACTATTTCAGCTACAGCATGACTAGGTTATAGGTTCCTATTCATTGCCCAGAAATAGTTAATTGTTTCCAATAAAATAAAGCACCAGACGGTATTACTAAATGTCGATGGATTGGAAAGTTTGTATCACTTAGTATTTTTCTTATAAAAAATAAATTTGAGTTAGATATTTGAAAAATATTAAATCATTATTTTGGGGAAATATATGAATTATAATATGATCCATTTACCACTTTTTTTTACTGCAAAATTAACTGATTTGCCAGTTCAACCCATGGTACAGACATAGGGACCCCGTAAATGACATAGGAGAAGAGATTATCCGAACGGCGATCCCTATGTCGTCCCCATGGTGACCCTAAGGATACATGTCATTTTGGTGAGAGTCGGTCCAGCCGTTTGCCAGTTATAAACGGAACATACACACAGGTTTTTGTCAAATGAAAGGTTAGAGACATATTAATCTAAATAGCATTAAGAAGATCGGATCACCCCTATACTTATAGAAATTAATAAAAACCCTATAACCCGAGCGCTTTCGAAAGGTGTACCTTTCTTCTTCAGGGGCAAACTGGGAAAATGGTTATAGGGTTTTTATTCATTTCTATCAATACTTCTTGAACCTACATGTTTTTCTAATATCATGAACCCTATACTTTATATGGACTTTGTTTGAGAATATTTAATGGCTAATGATCTTAATATTCTCACAGGTAATCTAGTGTAACGGTAGTCAGAAAAATATTTTTTCTCTCACCCGTCCAACACATCTTCGGATAAAGACCACTTCTCCCCCCCACACACACACACACACTGGGGAAGCAGAACCTATTCAAGTTCGTGGACTTCGCCCTTAAATAGAACAACGTTGTTAACTCTTTTCATTCACTGATATTTTGATAACATTTCTACTTCAAAATAAATTTAAGTAAGCATCATTTGTTTGTTTGTTTTTAAGCCTATAACTATACAATTGGCTATCTCTGCTGTACCACAGACATCGAAGTTTGGTTTTTAGCGTTATATGCCTTCAGATTTAACGTTGAGTCACTCGGAGGATGGGCGGGTGAGGCATAAATATCCTTAACTAAGCCAATGAAACAAAATCTAATTATTGTACATCTTACAAGGTTCAAATTGTGTTATACACCATCTGAAGCTGTTACGAATCGTAAAACAGATGAAATGGTTTTTCAACATCCAGAACCAATACATACGTTTCATGTTTGATATCTATGGCTTCCCATCATCTAGGCGTAAACCATATTCATCCTTCAGAGCCAACAGATATATTTAGTGTCAGCTATCTGGTCTTTCAAGAACTAGGTACGGAATAAATCTACCTTCTAGGAGCAATTAAGATTTTTTTTATAAACTATCTAGGCCTTCCAATAACTTAGATACACAAATATTCACTCTCCAGAACCAGAAATATGACAAATTTAATATTACTTATCGTGGCTTTACAAGCTCTATATCTCCGTCCAACATTCAGTTCTTTCGAGAGAATTCAGATATCTAGATTTTCTGTCGATAACTGTATATGTGTGTATCAGGTATATTATTTCTTCAACAAAACATAAATATTCAGGCTTTTCAGCGTAGGAAGCGGGGGGAGAGCCTTTTCAACCTGGGGAACCAGGCCTGACACATTTCAGCCCAAGATGTGTGATAAAACTGTGTCTCTCTGTGATTTTATTGACTAATTTAAGCCCCAAAATCTTGCAACTAATGTCACCAATTTTAACTTCTTACAATGTCTTTGTTATAGCTGCAGTGTGGAGACAATGCAGATACAAGATCCAACAGTCAGCAGCCATTTGCATTGTTTCTGTGTGTTTTATTCTCTTTCAGTATTACTTTATGATATTTTGTGGGTCAACATAATAAAACTTTTTTTTTTCTTTTACTATTATTAAGTGCAAATAATGGACAACAAAATAAAGAATACAAAAATAATAAGCACAGAAACTTTCATTTAATTTTTAACTTTCTCTAATATGGTTTCACACCACATGTAAAATAATGAATGATGTGTGTGTGGTTGTGTATTTGGTTATGTGTGACTGTTCCAACATCTTGTTCAAGGTTGTATAACATAATGTAACCAAAGTTTGAAATTTTGCATGTACATTAAGACTTGTCCTTAGGCCTAAACGGAATTCAGAGAAAAACAAATAAAAGGTATATTGGTTCAGTCAATATTTTTGCTATTATCTCTACTGTAGTGAACAATTTAGTATTTAACAAAGGAGCATGATAATGCTACAGCAGCTTGTGGGAAGGATGGAGTTCAAGGAAGCATTATTTCTTTCTTCAATAAAGAACGTGCTGAAAATGACAGTATTCAGGAAGGTTGTGCTAGATTACAGAAAACTGTTGCTAAGGTAAAGGAATTTTAGAACATTATTTCCTAAAGTAGTATCACAGAACTCTGAGAAACTTTAATTAAGCCATGAATGATATAAAATAACTTAATGGAATGATTAGCTTTTGTATGTGTTAATAAAATAAAATGTTGCTTAATAAAATGCTTAATATTTTACTGAAACTTTCAACTGTGAAATAATTATGCCATTGTATGAGAATGTGCTTACTTTGCATACTACCGTGTCTTAAAATAATAGAAACAGGTTAGCATGTAGAGCACCTCCCTGCATATATAGTGAGAGAGAAATATTTTACTCTTTATGAAAATAATACCCTTTCTACCAATTTATGTCATGTTTATCTAACACTGAGGAATTACCATGTACTGCCATGAATGATAATCATATTTTGAATTTCAGTTACATTCATATCTGGGACTCCACATACTGAAAGTAAGTTAATAAAGTAAATTAAATTAGCATTTGCTAAGTTGTATCCTTGGTGAAGGCTGTATTAATACCCCTATTACAGGCGTGGTTTTTATAATTTTTCACCGTATTTTGTAGCAATAACGGTACTATCTTACAGCTTAGAAAATGTGGGAGTGGTTATTATTCGTTTAAATATTAGCTGTATGGTATTCCCTGAAAATCTAACCAACTTATTTCTCTTCCATTTTTTAAAGATTTATCCATGTAAAACTTTAAAGCTGTATTTAGGCTAATTATTGTATAAGTTTTAAACTGCCAGATTGCTTTCTATTTACACTAAAGTTTAAAGGTTTTGTATAGTAGTATTATATTAGAGAATGAGTTCCATATATGCCTTGGATGAATGCAAGCTATTACATATAAGTGCAGGTGCCTAGTTACAGAAAGTTACGTGTCTGTATGTGCTCTGATATTTTATGATTGTCAAAAAATGTACATGATGGCATTTTTATTTTCAGGTTGATATGTGTACTAATGTAATACGTAATGCTGAGTGTTGCCAGCTGGAAAATGTACCTTTAAAACCAAGTGATCCTGCTATACATACAAAAACAGACAAAGAGTACGTATCAAATGGCAAATTGAGGAGGAGGAGGAAACTGAATGATTTCACGATTATCTTTGGTTAACATATTATACAACAGAAAACAAACTTTTCTGTCACCATTCCTGCCATGCTGTGAAAGAAAATCTGAGGTTACTTAGCAAAAATGCTGAAAAAGCTTTTACAGAAAAGATATTTCAGAATTAGAGGAAAACGATTGAAAAGTTCAAAGGTTTTGAAAAACCTTGCTGCTAACAAAGGAGCGTTACCAAGACGACAGCA